TCCATTTTCTTACTTTTTAAGGAGAGCAGTTTTAACATGTTTTAAATTTGTAATCAGTAAATACTCAAATATTTCTGATATTTAACCAAAATTAATTTAATATAATAATTTTGGTTAAATATCAAAAACATTTGAGTATTTACTGATTACAAATTTAAAAAATGTTAAAATTGCTCTCCTTAAAAAGTAAGAAAATGGACATAGTGTCCTTTACCTCCGAGGTACGGCATTGTAACACTTAAATTAGATATTATATTGAAACATAGCTCTGAGGATTACTTTCATCTTGTAAGACGAAATTTTTAAAGGAAAAGGTAATATATTAACTTTTTTTAAAATTTATGGGTCAAAATAAGTAGCTCACTCAACATAGAGCTATCATAAGTAAATTATTACACATGATTTAGACGCGTTTTTTACCTAGATCATGAATCCCTAATAAAAATAATTAATGTTTTCTTTAATTCTACCATAATATAAGTTTAATTTGATATCAAAGTTACTCATAAGGAATATAAGGAATAAGCCAAATTTCGTAACTTCACAACAAAAGAGCGTCATTAATATAACAGTGGCCACAATTAATGTGGATAGTACGGTCTAAAAATGAAATGTGTCGTATGACCTATCTTGTCCACACCTTCGACATATCTGTTTTAAAACAACGAACGTTTCCTTGAAAGTCTTTCAAGGAATCTAAATGTTACCCACGTAAAACAGGTCAAAAATATCAATCACACCTGGACTATTATCCACGTAGAGTTAAAGGGACGATAAGAAACATACTGAATCCAGAAATATGGGCCGAATAAAATTAAGATATTGTCATGCTGGCATGACAATGGCACCTATGTACGCCGTTGCTCCCGCTTGGCGGCGCTAGTGTAGTTGGAAGTCAACACATTTTGACAATTCTTTGGGTTTGTATGGTATTTTTGTTGTAATTATTGCGATTTAATAAATGATGACAGAAAAAAACGGATCTTGGTATATTGCGATTTGATAAAAGAATTGAGAAGAAATGCGAGAATTACTGGACAAAAAGTCATTATCGAAAAGTAAACTATATAAATCATCTTAATGTTTCATTGGTTCATCTCAGACCATAATGGAAACTTTTATATTAGTCTGAGTATTAAAGTGATGTATTTGTATTTGAATTAATACTATTATGTAACTAAAATATGGTAATTTTAGCTACCTACCATACATTGAATACAGTTTTGTGCTGCCTTAAAACAAAACGCATTATAAATCATCACTTTTGATATAAGTATGAAAGATATTGTGTTGCTGCCAGAAGTTCATTGCTTTGCTAGTCCAGAAACTGAATAAGTCGTCCCTACCATTTCCAACTATCGAATGTGAAAAGTGGTACTTTTCAGGAGAGCAAAATAACTCTTTTTTAGAGAATTCTAAATCAGCGCTCTGACAAATGGAAAATTTTTTATATTTTTAAAAATTAATGTTTGATCCTTGTTAGATTGATATCAGAATAAAACTGCTTACCGTTTGCTTCTTTCCACAAAATCACATTCGTTATTTTGCTTTTTGTGTTAATCAATGATTTGTTTTGGTCCAATGTTTTAAAATTGCGAATGTGGCATTTTCGACAGTTCATATTTGTATAATTTTAGCACATTTATTTGGTGCAATGTTTCAAAATTGCGAATGTGGCATTTTCGACAGTTCATATTGGTCTAATTTTAACACATTAATATTCTTAATTGAAAAGGAGGAAAATGAAAATAATCTTAATGTTCTTACAAAGTTTATTACAAAATATTTAATTAAAAATTTAAGTTATAGGCTAAAATGGAAAATGCATGTATAAAGAAATTATTAAAAGTATTTTTATGAAAGTACGTATTGATCAAAAACTAATGTAATTAGAAAAGTTAAAAATAATCACAATACAATTATGGAACTTCACGTCCTGTAGATAACTCAAGTAAACAGTAGTAAAATAATGATAAATTAAAGTAAAGTCTTAAATTTTAGATTCAACATTATCATTGTCTTCAGTTGCGTCAGGTTCTGGAAGACAATCTCTGGCAGTATTAGATGTTGGTAAAGATTGGTAATATTGGTGGTATGGCCTAGGTACATAGTGACAAGAGGTTTTTTTTCTTCACATCCGTGATTGAAAGTATTTCGTCGTATACCTTAACAAAGTTTATACTATTTTGTTTGTCTCTTTTTTGTATGGTTTCAAGAGATAAGAAGTTTCCGTCAATGCTAGTCTTCATGTAAAGTTTGTTATTTTCATTTTTCCGATACTGGTACCATATACACTGTGTGGACGACGTCCCAAAGGCAGCATTCTTTAATATTTGTTTAAATAATTCTAGCTTTGACAACATAACTGTTTTTGGTTTAGCTATACCCAGTTAACTGAATAATCAGATAATGAAAAACCGATAAAAACAAGATAATAAGGTCCTCACCGAAAGAACTTCTTGGAAGAAATAATTCACACAATTATTGTGAATACGTGCGTTTTGTTCTTGTCAGCAATGTTTAGTATTTTTAACATTTTGCCAATTATAATTGAATAATTGTATCAATTACAACTCTGAAACTAATGTATGTAACACATTAAAAAACAAAATAGTTAAGTGTCTCACCGAAAGAACTTCTTGGAAGCAATAATTCACAAATTGTGAACACGTGCGTTTTGTTCTTGTCAGCAATGTTTAGTATTTTCAACAGTTTGCAGATTATAATTGAATAACTGTATCAAATACAACACTGGAGATAATGAATGTGACACATTCGTCATTTTGCATTGTACATATATATGCCTTTAGTTATATTTATACAAAACAAAATATCGAATATTCCATTTTCGTCAGTTTGCAGCATATTCGATATTTTGACCAAAACAAAATGACAAAATGTTCATATTCGATGGTTTAGACACAATATTTCCCGCGTTTCTGATCAAGCTACGATTTCGATATTTTGCTACAAGGTGTATCAAGTTTAATGCAAGGACAAGGTATCGAATCTGAAAAACCCGATTTTTCACATTCGATAGTTGGAAATGGTAGGGACGAAGTATTCTATATTATATTATGGGTTGGGCTGCATATGATCGAAATAATAATTTTCGACATGACATTGTATGGTCACTAATGTGGATTTAACTACTCTTCAGAAATTATTGTAATAGATATCGTCGACATAAATAATTATTTTCTATATATTTATAAGTTAGCAGAAGTGATGAGCATGTGTGTCGCAGTCCACAGAAAAAACTACAGTGTAATGCAAAATAATCTGTTGTTAGCTATTGGTCAATCAAAACCAGATGAATATCAGTTTTACCGAGCGCAAGTCAACAGTGAAATGGCTAAAGCACTTATATACAATGTAAAACTGGTCCTCTCCATGGATGAAAGTATTACTGAAGCATTAGGTTAATGTATTGTTGGGAAGCGATACAGAGCAGTGTGAAAACATGTTGCTGTTGCGATGCGTTATTAAACCTAAAAGGTCGTGGTAAATGATACATAAAAGATACCTGCACTAAATGAAAGCAAGTTTGGCATATGCCAAAAAAATAGCAGACTGAAAGTATCGCTAAAGAAAGCCGAACAAATAAATTTTATAGTTCCTGTGTGCAATGTGCAAAAAAAGCAAAAGACAAACTTTTGTTACAATCTAACACCACAACAATACAGAAATATGCCTAATTTTACTGACAGTGTAATCAGTGTAACTTATTGGAGTAAAAAAGTGAGAAAATAGCTATCCGTACCTATGAGGAGTCAACTATTAACCATTTAATTATTTAGCTGCTTTTCCTAATGGACTTGTGGAATAACTGTTAGAAGTTAACTACCCCTATTCAATAAAAGATTCAATGATTAGTTCTGGTAGTTTGCCATATTTAGAAATGAAATATGAATTACGTTTAAAATTAAATTCAAATTATTAATCAAGTGATATTTCAAGATACCAGAAAGTAGGTCAAAAGGATACCGGAATCAAATATGGAGAGATAATTAAAAACCACACAATGTAACCAAGATATATTTTCGAAAAGCTGCTTACCGTCTTCTGTCCAGAAAGGGACGAATGGGAGTCGACGAAAATGAATCCTCTAATCTAATCTAATATAATCAATGCTGATATATTTCATGATATCAATCAAGTGATATTTCAAGATACCAGAAAGTAGGTCAAAAGGATACCGGAATCAAATATGGAGAGATAATTAAAAACCACACAATGTAACCAAGATATATTTTCGAAAAGCTGCTTACCGTCTTCTGTCCAGAAAGGGACGAATGGGAGTCGACGAAAATGAATCCTCTAATCTAATCTAATATAATCAATGCTGATATAAGACGCCTTTAAAACCAATGAAAGAGTAGGAGCTGGGGTATGCGGAGGGAATCAAGGCTAAGCCTTAGTAAAAGTCTAGTTAATTACTCTACTATCTTGCTGCCATAGAAATGTGCCTACTGGAACAAATTACAAGGCTTCTTTGTCTTAACTTCTGCTTTTACTTCATTGTTCCATTAATTTGTTCATTTCTTACTTTTAGTATTTCTTGTTATTCCGCATACTTGCTTACCACCGCTTAGGAGTGCTTCTTTTAGTTTTTGCCAAGCATGGTCTAAGTCACAGTCCTATTCAGCGTGCTCTATTACGTAACTGTCCACGTAATTTTCAACGTTGTTGTTTTACCTACAATTTTTGTTTGCGTTATTTTCCATAACTATTTGTTACAATTAAAAATCAATTTTTTAGTTACTGAAAACCTTTATACTAATGCTCTCCGAAATTAATTTAATATTCGTTCAAATTATAAAATCCTTAAAGGTATATAAACAAAAAAAAAGAATATAAAATATAGCCAAGATGTTCTGATAACAATGTTTAAATTATTCACATTATAAAGAAGATTATATTATATAATTTAAAAGTTACATTATTTTTAATTTCCTTTTCTAAAGAATATTTTTGTGTATTTTTTAATCATTATATAGATAGGCGAAGAGACAGAACTATTATGGAGTGTCGAAGCCAGAAATGCTGCTATTGAAAATGGAGTTTATGTCTGTACTGTAAACAGAATTGGAATGGAGATATACGATCATGAATATGAAGATGAACAAGGAAATCTCATTCATCATAAAGATTCTGGTCTATTTTTTGGTTCCAGCTATGTAGCTGCCCCCGATGGAACAAGATCTCCGGTAAGAACATAAGTGTGTAGCGAATAAGATAGCTTAGCAACAACATTTCTGAATCAATAAACATTTGTATAGTTTTTCCTTTTAGTGTCTTCTATTATTTGTTATTTTACACCCCCTCAGTTTTATTTCACTATAAGTTCTGACAGAAATATTTTGCTGTACTTTAAGCGTGAACTTTAAATCCAGATGTAGCTTTAGTGTAAAATTACTTTAACCAACTTATTTTCTTATCTGAGTAATCTAGTAGCTATAAACCACTTTAACGGTCGTAAGATCTTGTAGTGGAAGGGCCTTTCATGCACAGTTGTCATCACTACCCATGGTTCAACTTCGGGTCTAGCTTACACCTAGGTTGTATTATCCTTCTTCTGGCATGTGCGACACTTGCCGGGAGTGGCCATAATTTCAACAGCTTTTCGTGGAATGGACCACGAACAAACAAATAAAAAACGCCATGAAGCTCAGCAAGGTCCAACAGGTGACCATAAGCGGCACAGCAAGGGAAATTACTGCCATATTAAATATTAGATGTCACGTTCCATGGCACATAATATTTCACGATTCACGTCACTTTCTACGTTACATAATATATCACGTTTTACCTGAATATCAAAATTTTCTGACATCGTAGTCTATTCGTTAAATCCCATCCTAAGGTATACCGCATTACTCCTTGCTCTGTAAGTAAAGTCATTTAGGTCCAATTTTTTGAACTACACCCTGTATACTTACATTTTACTTGTTATTTTAAGAGATCTATCAATTTAAATTACTTTTCAGCTGTTCCTCACTCCTCAGCAATTAAAAACACCAGGTAACGCGGCATCTAATAAAAATTGAAATATTAATTCATACCAACGCCTTCACCAAACTGAAATTTCCTTAGATCTACTGAAATTGTGACATCAGCTCCTATCCTTTACATAAGGTTGACGTCACAATTAGCGCCATAGCTAATATACTGTATACAGTGTACACAAAAGATATTTCTGGTCGCAGTGCGGAGAAATATACATGGGTAAACGATTCCTTTTTCTAAAAGCTACAACTAGCCATCAGCCAATATTCAAATTTTTTCAAGATCTTAGTTTGGTTTTCAATTTTGTTGTACCACAACGAAGTTAAAACCACCGCATTAAATTAATACTATAACAACCTCAGAAACCAAAACTACCAAAGGCTTACGTTTACGAAAACAAGACAAGAATATATAGCCAGTGATATTTGATCTATACCATCATATGGCTCAATATTCATTTACAGCAAAGCTGTTCAGGAAAAGCCGAGAAACTTAACGAAAAAAAAAACAAGATTCATTCTGAAACTAAGGGTTTCCTAAAATACAGCATTGTAAAGTCCATACTAATATGTGACCAATTTTGTAACAGTCTCGGATAGAATAATATTACTCCAAATAAATACTCAACCATTTAAAACTAACATACTTCAAATATATGCCCCGACTGCGGATAGAAAATATGACGATGAAGTCGAGAAGTTGTATGATCCGATCCAAGACATCTTACAGAAACTTAATAAACACGAAATTTTATATATTATAGGCGACTTCAATGCAAAAATTGGTGAAGGTCGATGAGGTCAGACTGTAGGTCCTTATAGTTTAGGACAACCTAACGATCGAGGACAGAGGTTGTATGTATTCTGTAAAGAAAACGATATGATCATTGCAAACACCTGGTATAAACTACCCAAGCGACGACTATACACTTGGAATTTGATGATGGCAATAACCCTGAGTCTTCCAGAAATCAAATAGACTATGAGCGTTTCCGAAATGCCGTCAAAAAAGTCACTACATATCCTGGGGCAGATATTGGATCTGATCATCAACCACTCGTAGCAGATATTAAACTAAGGTTAAAACGAATTCAGCGACAAAAACCAAAAACCAATGTACTTAACTTTGACGATATAAACATAAAACATAACATTAAAAAAGAATTTAACAATAGAATAAAAAACATCGGGGAACAACTAGAAGATCCAGAAGAACTATGGAGTGAATTTAAAAACCAAGTTAACAAAATCTCCACAAACAATGATTATAGAAACACTTAATCAAGAAAAATAACTGTATGACAAATGACATCCTAAACTTAATGGAACAACATCGACTGATAAAATCTAATGTAACAGAATATAGACACCTGCACAGAAGAATAAAAAATGAGATCAAATTAGCCAAAGAAAAATGGATGAGAGAAAGGTGCGATGAAATGGAGGATGTAATATCTAAACACGACTTATTTAATGTGCACAAAAAACTGAAAGAAATGAGTAATATATTTAAAAAAACGAGTTCCCTCTGTACTTGTTGACACTAATAACAAAATTATTGTAAATGAGCAAGAAATAAGAAAATAATGGCAGCTGTATATATCAGAGTTGTTTGAAGATGACAGGAATAATATTGTCGAATTCTACCAAAACTGTACTGACGGCCCAGAAATTATGAAATGCGAAGTAGAACATGCTATAAATAATGCTAAAATTAGAAAATCTTGTGGCCCAGATGATACACCAACTGAGTTGCTGAAACTAATAGAGAACGATAATATAAAAGTAGTAGTAAGACTTTTTTATTCAATATATAACACCGGAGTGATTCCCGCAGATTGGCTCAAATCCATCTTTATCGCAATACCTAAAAAACACAATGCGAGAAAATGCTCAGAATATCGATTAATTAGCCTAATGAGCCACACTCTTAAAATTTTACTCAGAATACTTCACAACAGAATTAGACGCAAATGCGAACAAGATCTTGAAGATACCCAATTTGGTTTTAGAAATGCTATGGGAACCAGGGAGGCACTTTTTGCGCTTAACATCTGTCCTCTGTCCGCTCTTCTGACGTGGCCGTACCAGGATAGTCTCTTCTCCTCTATATAGTCGATTATGTCTGATTGCACTCCCATTCTCCGCTTAATATCTGCGTTTTCAATTCTGTCTCTTTTTGTAAGTCTACAGCTTCTCCTCAGGAACTCCATTTCTACTGCTCTTATTCTACCTCTATTTCTCTTGTTTATTGTCCAGTTTTCGGACCCATGTCAGGATACTTCTTGTCAGGGTATTATATATTCTCTTTTTTGTCTTCATCATAATGTTCTTATCCCACAGCACTGAATTTAGTTGTCTTATACAGTTTTTTGTTTGTCTTAGTCTGTTGTTTATATCTTCTTCTGTTGTTCCCTGGTTCGATATTATGGTTCCTAAATACTTGAAGTTATCTGTTCCATTTACTTGTCTTCCCTCGTCTATCTCTAGGTTTCTCATACCCTTGTTTTCTGTTGTTAGGTATTCGGTTTTCTCTAAGTTTATTTCCATTCCGTTGTTTTTATATTCTTCTAGTTTTTTGAGCATAAAGCTGAGATCTTCTTCATCTTGTGCGATGACTACTTGATCGTCGGCAAAACTTAAGGTGTATAGGTATTCGTATTTTACTGGTATGCCCATTCCTTCCCACTTTCTCCTGCATGGTTTGAGTGTCTTTTCCAAGAATATTTTAAACAGAGTAGGGGACGTAGCACAGCCTTGTAGAAGTCCTTTTGTCGTCTTAAATGGATTGTAGGCTTTATTCCACATTTAATAGCTACTTTGTTTTCTTTGTACAGTGCTTTAACTGCTTTTATTAGTGTTTGTCGGATTCCGAGATCATTCATTGCTTCCCATAATTTGACTCTAGGTATTGAGTCGTATACTTTCTTTAGATCAACAAACGCTAGATGGACCGGTCTACCTTTTGCCATTTTCTTTTCTATCAGTTGTTCTAATGTGTACATATGATCTAGGCATGATTTTCCTACTGTGAACCCTGCTTGGTCTTCTCCAATTTTTCCTATTATTTCAGTTTCTAGTTTTTGAACTAGAAGTTTCTAGTTTTGAACTGTTTATGACTAAAACTACTTTTATGAAAATGAAGTCATTTCTTTGCAATAACCATCTCAGTTTAGAACTAAGGCAAATAATTTTTAAGTGCTATGTTTGGTCTGTACTTTTGTATAGTGCAGAAGTGCGGACGCTAAAAGTATCGATTATGAACAAAATTAAAGCATTGGAAATGTGGGTTCATAGACGAATGCTGAAGATACCTTGGACAGCAAGAAAAACTAATGAAGAAGTACTAAGGAGCGTCAACAAAGACAGAGAACTGCTAAAGGCTGTTAAACATCGAAAAATGTCTTATGGTTTATTCGTCTTCCGGGTTTGGACCGTGTCATTTGTGAGTGACCCAAAAGTGGGTTCATCTCGACGTTTCGCTACAATTGTATGTAGCTTCTTCAGGAGAACAAAAAAGAAAAAAGAAAGAAAGAAGAAAACAAAAGAACAGGAAGATGGGTAGTTAGCAACGGTAACTCAGTTACTCAACGCAACCAGAGGCGAATACTAACTACCAAGATGGGCATTTGGTCACAGTAACTCAACTACTCAACGCAGCCAGAGGTGAAAACCAAATGCCAGGACAGGGATTCACGTCCAACAGCTCAGAACACTAACGCGTCGAGAGGTGGGGAGTGAATCCGACGATTACTCCGCTACCGCTCTATTTATAGTCGCGGTGCCTGTCGTGTCGGGACGTATCGGCACACTTCGTGGCGCGAACGTCAAGAAGCGCGCGCTGGCCAATCATGTGGCTGCATCGTGGTGGCGGGACCGGACGGCGGTTCTAGACTGAGATTCCAGATGGGAGATAAGTAGTATCCTTCCTCTCGATTGATATTATGGGGATTTTTTCGGATCTCTAGAGATTCGCGGATTTTCCTGGAATAAAAGAAGGGGCTTTTAGAAATAATATGGGTTTTTTTCGAACAATATGGAATGACCGGTTTCTTGGCAGTGTTCTGCAACTGCAGAATGGGAGAAAAGACCTGATCGAATGCATCTTTGATGCTCTTGAATCCGAGTTTTGACGGAACGACCAGTTTCGCCAATATACACATGTCCACATGAACAAGGAATAGAATAGACACCACAGGAAGATAGGGGCGGTAATGGGTCCTTAGGAGAGGGTAGATATTGTGAGATTCTCTTGGGTGGTCGAAAAGTAGTCCTGATACCATCTTTGCGAAGAATTTTGCCAATCCTATCAGTGACATTTCGAATATACGGAAGAAAAGCCACAGGAGTATTACCCGAAGATTCTGAATTTGTCGTCCTAGGGTGTAAAGGGGGATGTAGATGTCGGTGTGTAATATTTTGAATTGTGGACTTGGAGTAACCGTTGGCGACAAGGGTTTTTTGCAGATGGCCAAGTTCTTCTCTAAGGTTATCGGGTTCAGAAATCGAAATGGCCCGATGGATGAGAGAGTTGATCACAGAATTCTTTTGGGCAGGATGGTGGTGTGATGAAGCATGTAGGTAACGATTCGTGTGAGTCTTTTTTCTATAAACAGAGTGACCCAATCGGCCATTGGGCTTGGAAGTGACTAACACATCGAGAAAGGGAAGGGACCGATTATTTTCTACTTCCATTGTGAATTTTATACTCGGATGTTGTGAGTTAAGATGATCTAGGAAGGGAGAAAGGGTATGTTGACCATGGGGCCAGATGATAAATGTATCATCAACGTAGCGGAACCAGACTTTTGGTTTTAAGGGGTAAGATTCTAGGGCTAAAGACTCAAAGGCTTCCATGAAAATGTCAGCAATGACAGGGGAAAGGGGAGAACCCATTGGTGTTCCAGATATTTGTTTGTAGAAATTGCCTCTAAAAGAAAAATATGTTGAAAGGAGGCATTTTTTCCGCAAGATCTGCCAAAACCAAAGACTTGTTATCATTGGTCAAGTGATCTCGCAGAACAACTAGAGAGTCATGTATGGGGATATTGGTAAATAGGGATGATACATCGAAACTGACGAGAATGTCTTGGGGATCGACTGTGAGAGAGGAGATTAAGGTGATGAAATGTGTGGAATTTCGGACATAAGAAGAGGTACGACCAGTATAGGTCTTAAACTGATTCGACAAGTACTTTGTGAGTTTGTAGGTAGGAGAGTTAATCGTAGTCACAATGGGACGAAGAGGTACGTTATCTTTATGGATTTTGGGAAGACCATAAATTCTGGGGCAGATGGAGTTTTTCGGAACTATGGACTTCTTAATATCATCGGAAAGATCGGATTGTTTGATGACATGGGCAATTTCGCGTTCGACTCTAGGAGTGGGGTCTCGAGAAATTGTATTATAACAGGATGTATCCCTAAGTAAGTCGTTTACTTTCTCTATGTAGGAAGGAGTATCCAGGATGACTGTGGCATTACCTTTGTCTGCAGGAAGGATTATTATCTCAGAAAGAGAACGGAGATTTTTGAGAGTGCATTACCTTTGTCTGCAGGAGAGATCCTTCCTGCAGACAAAGGTAATGCCACAGTCATCCTGGATACTCCTTCCTACATAGAGAAAGTAAACGACTTACTTAGGGATACATCCTGTTATAATACAATTTCTCGAGACCCCACTCCTAGAGTCGAACGCGAAATTGCCCATGTCATCAAACAATCCGATCTTTCCGATGATATTAAGAAGTCCATAGTTCCGAAAAACTCCATCTGCCCCAGAATTTATGGTCTTCCCAAAATCCATAAAGATAACGTACCTCTTCGTCCCATTGTGACTACGATTAACTCTCCTACCTACAAACTCGCAAAGTACTTGTCGAATCAGTTTAAGACCTATACTGGTCGTACCTCTTCTTATGTCCGAAATTCCACACATTTCATCACCTTAATCTCCTCTCTCACAGTCGATCCCCAAGACATTCTCGTCAGTTTCGATGTATCATCCCTATTTACCAATATCCCCATACATGACTCTCTAGTTGTTCTGCGAGATCACTTGACCAATGATAACAAGTCTTTGGTTTTGGCAGATCTTGCGGAAAAATGCCTCCTTTCAACATATTTTTCTTTTAGAGGCAATTTCTACAAACAAATATCTGGAACACCAATGGGTTCTCCCCTTTCCCCTGTCATTGCTGACATTTTCATGGAAGCCTTTGAGTCTTTAGCCCTAGAATCTTACCCCTTAAAACCAAAAGTCTGGTTCCGCTACGTTGATGATACATTTATCATCTGGCCCCATGGTCAACATACCCTTTCTCCCTTCCTAGATCATCTTAACTCACTACATCCGAGTATAAAATTCACAATGGAAGTAGAAAATAATCGGTCCCTTCCCTTTCTCGATGTGTTAGTCACTTCCAAGCCCAATGGCCGATTGGGTCACTCTGTTTATAGAAAAAAGACTCACACGAATCGTTACCTACATGCTTCATCACACCACCATCCTGCCCAAAAGAATTCTGTGATCAACTCTCTCATCCATCGGGCCATTTCGATTTCTGAACCCGATAACCTTAGAGAAGAACTTGGCCATCTGCAAAAAACCCTTGTCGCCAACGGTTACTCCAAGTCCACAATTCAAAATATTACACACCGACATCTACATCCCCCTTTACACCCTAGGACGACAAATTCAGAATCTTCGGGTAATACTCCTGTGGCTTTTCTTCCGTATATTCGAAATGTCACTGATAGGATTGGCAAAATTCTTCGCAAAGATGGTATCAGGACTACTTTTCGACCACCCAAGAGAATCTCACAATATCTACCCTCTCCTAAGGACCCATTACCGCCCCTATCTTCCTGTGGTGTCTATTCTATTCCTTGTTCATGTGGACATGTGTATATTGGCGAAACTGGTCGTTCCGTCAAAACTCGGATTCAAGAGCATCAAAGATGCATTCGATCAGGTCTTTTCTCCCATTCTGCAGTTGCAGAACACTGCCAAGAAACCGGTCATTCCATATTGTTCGAAAAAACCCATATTATTTCTAAAAGCCCCTTCTTTTATTCCAGGAAAATCCGCGAATCTCTAGAGATCCGAAAAAATCCCCATAATATCAATCGAGAGGAAGGATACTACTTATCTCCCATCTGGAATCTCAGTCTAGAACCGCCGTCCGGTCCCGCCACCACGATGCAGCCACATGATTGGCCAGCGCGCGCTTCTTGACGTTCGCGCCACGAAGTGTGCCGATACGTCCCGACACGACAGGCACCGCGACTATAAATAGAGCGGTAGCGGAGTAATCGTCGGATTCACTCCCCACCTCTCGACGCGTTAGTGTTCTGAGCTGTTGAACGTGAATCCCTGTCCTGGCATTTGGTTTTCACCTCTGGCTGCGTTGAGTAGTTGAGTTACTGTGACCAAATGCCCATCTTGGTAGTTAGTATTCGCCTCTGGTTGCGTTGAGTAACTGAGTTACCGTTGCTAACTACCCATCTTCCTGTTCTTTTGTTTTCTTCTTTCTTTCTTTTTTCTTTTTTGTTCTCCTGAAGAAGCTACATACAATTGTAGCGAAACGTCGAGATGAACCCACTTTTGGGTCACTCACAAATGACACGGTCCAAACCCGGAAGACGAATAAACTATAATTCTGACTCTGGCCGTGGAAGCCTACGATTTCATTTGAAAAATGTCTTATCTGGGACATATAGTAAGGGAAAGCCGATATAAAAATTTACAACTGATCCTTAAAGGCAAAATAGAGGGCCGTAGAGGTGTAGGTAGAAAACAAGTTTCTTGGTTAAAAAACATTCGTGAACGAACTCAGATACCAAATGCAGGACAATTATTCCATATTGCAGAAGATCGAAAAGCCTTCGCAATGGTGATTGCCAACGTCGGATAGTTCTGATATGGCACGCGAAGAAGAAGAAGAAAGTCCATACAAGTCCATAATAGGAAAAATATCAAAAAATTTTTTCAAAAATCTTTTATCTTTCTAACGCACAAATTTGTATAAAGTTGTCTACTTTATACAAACAAGTTTAAAAAAAGCACATTGCTCTTAAATATGATATAATACAAATCCAGAAAAATATAAGTAGGTATCTTAAATACAGTTACTTAAAAACACATTGGCAAAAGAAAAGAAAGGATAGAACTTCCTTTCTACTTCGTTACTAGTTAATTAATATTTCCTCATAATATCTATTTATTTTGTAGGGACTGTCAAGAACAAAAAATGGGCTTCTTATTGCTGAATTTGATCTAAACCTTTGTCGTCAAGTAAAAGATAGCCGAGGTTTAGGAGTAAGTATTTTGTTTAAATGTTAGGAATATTTAGAAATTCCTGTTAATTTTAAAAGTATTTTTGCTGTAGTTAGTATAGTCGAGGTAACATAACATTGTAGAACGCTTTGCAGGTATCGACGTTTGATCCCTTCTTGTTTATAACCGATCGGGCGCCGTTTTAGTAAGATACGCGTTTTATAGTCGGACAGTTTTCAATTAAAGGTGACTAATCTACAAATAATTGAACTAAACGGTAGCGGCAACCGTGTAAAATGTCAGTAGTAAATTCTTACAGGGTTCATTTTTATCGTGTATACACCCGCAAACTTATCAATATTTTGCTGGTCTATATATATTTACGTTCTTAGAAAGAATGGTAATGAGTGAAATATGATATTTTAGTTTATGTTTAATCGTTCCTAATTCTTATGTGCATAGCTTTAAAATAGTTTTGGGGTAAGTAAAGTAAATTTGCGGCAAGTTTATTCTTTATATTATAGTATTAACCCGTTAACGGCCGGTCAGTATACAAAGAGAAATTTGACAATTAATTTATTAGATTGGACCAAAAATACATAAATTAAGACTAATTTACAACCAAAAAGTTTTTTTTCTCATTTTCAAGGAAAACCGTACGATTTTTAATAAAGGAACACATTGCATCTTAAATGTAAATTAAATTGTAAGGTGAAAATTTTCAAAACATTCGGGGTGTAGATGCATTCTAAATGTGTAGATGCATTTTATATAAATAAATAGTAGAACTTTTGCACATCCTACATTCTTGTACTATAGACTCTTTTTTTAATGTGGCCAATATTGTCAAATCTGGTTTCATCTGGTAAAGTAAATTTAGATTGACGTACATGTACTAAGCTTGGCACTGATGTAGCGATTCTTCACTATTATAAATTATAAATATAAATCTATGTGACGGTTATTCTGCGATGCATAAATATTTGTAAAATATAGAATGCTCTAATTACGTTTTTATCAAAAAAGAGTGAAAAAAACTTTAATATATGACTTGCCTCCTTGGTTGGCTTTTATATTGTCTAAATATCAATCAGACTGATGTTGAATTACTACTGAGCACAAAGCAGCACCAAGAATTATCTGTTGTTATAATTGAGACAAATTTGGATTTACTATTTTTGCCTGGTTTTTTTCTTCGGACGTTTTATCTGTGGTTCAGAGTAATATCATAATCAGAATTGTCAGAATTCTCAATCACTTGTATTTCACATGTACCTGCAATATTCAATTTTATTGATTCTTCACAAACAATATTATCATTAATGTCTTTTACATAAGAAACTTTCTAATCTTACCTCGGCGGCAAATAAAACACTTTAAGTGAGTCAGCATTTTCACAATCTGAGTCTTCTTCTAACAAATCTATTAACTCTTTAGTAGTTGGTGTCATCTTTATTTCATATTTCGAGAATTTACTGAAATACACAAATGCACTACTATATACACGCATTAGTTACGTCCCTGGATTATCCAATGTGTGACGACATATAGAAAGACTATATATACCAGTGTTTAATTAGATTAAGAGCTTTTTGTTTTGTAGTTGTTACCATACCTGTACGTTCTCAAAAATAAATTTTGTTACGAAGATAAAATTTTTAAAAATCCGTTTTCGGTTTTGACATTCGTAACTCATTCACATGATAATAGTTTAGCTTAATTCATTTTAATTTATATGAACAATATATTTTTATATTTATATAAACAAATAACACAAGGAAACTTTCAAATTAAGTTTAAAAAACAAATATAAAGTTTTACAGCACAAACAATTCTATAAATAGAGAATGATGTGTAATGAGGAGATCGTATGTTAAAATTTCAGATTGTTTAATTTAGATAAATTTTCAGATTGTTTAGTCTAATGAAAAAATAACTAGTTTCTATAAAAAAAAAAATAAATTTTCTGTTTTTGAAGTTCTGTATTAGGTACTCTCTAATAAGAATAAAATTTTACTTTAATTTGTTAGACAACTATAAGATACGTGTTAAAAGACACATGATAATTTAATAATTATGTCGGTCTTAAATTTAATTTTTATGTAATTACTTATGTATTTAATTAAATAGTTTAATCAATTTAATTCAAGTTAAAACAAAACAAATATAACGTTCATAGCAAACAGCAATTCTATAAATAGAGAATGAAGTGCAACGACGAGATCGTATATTAAAATTTCAGACTGTTTAGTCTAATGAAAAAAATAAGTATTTTGCAAAGATTTCTGTTTTTTGAAGTACTGTATTAGGTACTCTATAAAAAAATACAATTTTTCTGTTTTTTGAAGTACTGTATTAGGTACTCTATAAAAAAATACAATTTTACTTTATTTTGTTAAACAACTATTCGCTCCGTGCGTGACTGACCTATTGCCTTCATCTGAGAGTTTTGGACCTCCCAATTTGAGGTTAAACATATGTTAAATATATACGAAATTGACAATTATTAATAATTAGATTTTTAATTATATTTTTTCAGTTTATGTACAAAATAAATGTAGTATTTAAAACTGGGTTTCTAAAAATTCATCATAATTTAGCTTTGCAACCCCAAAGTGAAAAGAAAGGGAAAAATCTAATACTGGTAAATCAAGATTTTCATGTGGAAGAGCATGTAGATAAAAACAATAGTAGTAAAAGTTATGATATAAAAGCTAAAGTCATCAGGCAGGCTGTAGTTATCTTGAAACCTTATGAAATATCATTTAAGGTAAATTATTTAAATTTTTCCTATTTTAATTACATAAAAATGAAATTATGTGATATTTACTTTTTCATATTAATAGCACGAATCCATCTTTTTCTTTTCTCGAATTTATATGTAATCTTTGGAAACCTATAAAAACTACACTCACTATTTTTGCTATTATTTGCACAATTAAATACGCAACATGTATTTGCACCCATTTTTGATAAAATTTATGCGTAAAAGATAGGTCCAATTTTGTCATATTTCGCCGCTACGCAAGCTGGCATTGTTTCAAGGTACCCCTACCATGGTTACGCACAGAGCGAATAAGATACGTGTTAAAAGACACATGATCATTTAATAACTATTTCGGTCTTAGATTTAATTACCAACTTATGTATTTAAATAAATAATTAAAATTTTTTTGGTGCGCCTTTGCAAAATTGATAAGTGGAATATGATTTCGTTAAAAAGTTATCGTTAAGGGCTTCGTTAAGTGCGATGTTGCCAAGTAATCACCTTCAATTAAAAATTGTTTTAGTATAGTTGTGAACCAGTTCGTTAGTAAAGTGTAGATTTTGCTGTAAATTAATTATGTTGACTAATGATGTGGCGTCCGTTTTATTGAAACTGTTTTTAACACACCTAGCTTGAATTACCATTTTATGTAAAATTCCAAATTAATATAATTAATATTATATGATCATAAAAGTAATATATCGCTTAATCAGTATTTAGAAAGTAAATTAATTATTATGTATGTATTAGTGACAATACATACCTTACTTGATTCTTAGGTAATCTAAACAACGATATTCCTTGACCCGTCTTAAATGAACATCCTTCACAAATACACAAGTGAACATTTGCTGAATAGAAAAAGTCGTCAATCTACCGCTACAATAAGAACATATATACTGAATTGTAGCGCGATTATTTACGCACCTTACAATAAGCTTAGCCTACAGACTATCAGACTCTCGGTAACTCAGAGTAGGCAGCGACTACCAATAGGTTAAGTACAAAAGTTCTCGCTTGTCTTTCACATCTAGGTTTTGATCATCTGTGATGCTACTATCAACGATTTTATCATTTAATATTTAAGAAAGTAGGAAATTTGTTAGATGGGCAGATTACCATATGGCCATATTACCTGCACATTCCTACCTGAAATATTATAAGTGATTCCTGGTTAATTAAACTTTGAAAAATTAAGGCAAATATCGAGCACAAGTTTAATCAAATCTTACCCAAGTACTTTGGCTATCTAAAGCATCATCAGAGGCATTTCGTCAAATTTGGGCAATCCAGCAAGCGTAGAATGTAATACACATGAGAGTGGACATAAATTGTACATAACACTACATTAACACAAGGACAAACCGTTTAAAATTATTATTATTCTAACGCTCTAAAGGCTGTGCGGCTGCCTCTCATTCGCTTTACTGTCGAATGGTTCAGTGGATGTGGGATCGAGCCCCAGCTCGGTGTACAGAAAACAAAAAGTCTAACGCAGCAGTTTAAAATTCTAAATGAATCTGCGGCTTAGACTAGAATATGCTGGGGTCTGATCGGCCTATGGTGGAGCAGTACGGCAAGAGATAAGTGCTTGCGGCTCGGTGATACTCCTCCATAGGTCCCTTACGCCCTAAAAAACCGGATATATATATACAGTGGAACCTCGATTATCCGTCTCTCTATTAACCGTCACCTCTGTTAACCGTCAGGGTTCTTTACATAAGGTATATTGACAACATAAGTAAAAATTTACTCATCAATTCATTTTGTTTGCAAAAAATTCTCCACCAAAGACGATTCTCATTTTGGACAATGCACCTGCCCATCCTAAAACCGGTATGCTGCGGAGTGACAATAAAAAATCACGTACACTTTTCTGCCTGCGAATACAACATCATTGATACAGTCAATGGATCATTCGGTCATTAAAACATTCAAAGGAAGATACAGAAAAAAATTTATTCAAAACCTAGTTATGAAAGAGGAATATTCTTTACCAAAATACTGGAAAGCATACAATTTAAAATACGCACTCGACAATGCTGTGGATGCTTGGACTGATGTTTCGGAAGTAACGTTGAAAAGAGCGTGGAATAAATTATAGCCTGAATCAACTTAAGATGAAAATACTCCCCTTAAATGAAGATATGGCTGAATCAACTGTTTTGTTTTCGTTGCCTAAAGATGACATAAACGAATGGTTAATTTGTGATAAGGACGCAAACGGCTATCTGACAGATGATGGAATTGCTAACAGATGATGAAATCGTTGAAATGGCAACAGAGGCGGACGAAACTGATTCAGAAGCTAACAGAGACTTTGATGGTAGCAATGTTGATGATGCTATTACAACTCACAAAGATTTGCGTAAAGCTAGAGAAGCTGAATCGCACATACAACAATTTATCAAGTGGTATTCTCGGCAAGAAGAAGCAAATAAGGTAAATTTGATGATTTTACATCGATTAAGAAATTCAGCCGCTGCAAAATGTGAAATAACAATAAAACTAACAAAGATTTCGGAATAATTTAAATCAGATTAGTTCGACTGTACTAACATAAATCTCTCTTATATTGTCAATAAAACATACAAATAAAATTTGAATTATACTATGAATTTTTTTTTAATGTTCTGTTAACCGTCTTTTCGATTATCCGTCATACCCTTGGTCCGGTGCCCTGGCGGATAATCGAGGTTCCACTGTATATATATATATATATATATATATATATATATATATATTTATATATATATATATATATATATATATATATATATATAAATATGTATATATATATAATATATATATATATATATATATACATATATATACATATATATATATATATATATATATATATATATATAATATATATATATATATATATATATATACATATATATACATATATATACATATATATATATATATATATATATATATATATATATATATATATATATATATATATATATATATATATTTATACATTTCGTCTATTCGTCTGTGTTTTTGTTCGTTTATGCTTTCGAGTATTGACTATTTATGTTTGATAACTATTAACTAATTAACTAAATATATTTTCAGATTACTCGCAAATTACCAAAATATAGAGATATTCTATTAAAACTAACCAACAACGAATTCAAGCCACAAGTGATCAAAAAGCACTGCCAGTGTACTTCTACTTAATTTTTTATTATATTTTTTATTGTAAAAAAATTAAAAATTAAACTATTCTGTTTATTTATACTAACTCCCTTTCCCAAACCCTCTCTAATGTACGTTCATGTCCTTTCCATATCTTCAAAGTTATCTTCTTAATGCACCTACCCTAGGATTTCTAAAGGACCTGTATCCATTTCCTTGATCCCTTCTGAGGATTTCAAGTGGAGACAGATTTCGAACTTATCTTTTTACAGGACTCATAAATTGACTTAAGCAAATGAATGAAAAAAAAACTTACCATAATATTGATTCGATTAATACAGGTCTCTTAAGCGATCATTAATTGTATTTCTTCTTCATTTTTGATGCTACGTTACCTACCAAGACAACATCGCACCGTCAACTATTGTAAATGAGGTGCTGTCATTTGTTTGCAAGAAGCATTTTAAGAAGACTCAAATACAAATTACGCGTTTTTAAACTTTTATAATATTCTTTTCAGCGTAGAAAAAAAAACGATTTACGAAATAGATATTGCAAGAAGTGTGCCTAAACTTTTTGTTCGGAAAGTTTTAATTCAGGTGATAAGTATTTTTACTGTTATTATAGAATTGAAACAAAGAATATTACGTATATTTCTTTTTTTTTACTTTACAAATATATTTTAGAACTACACGAATTGAATAATATTTTTTCAGCTAACTACATGTATATAATGCTGGAACACGCAACAATAGAGTTTCATTTCGTTTTTTATTTCCTTACAAAATAATATCTATTTCTGAGAACTGATTGATAAGCTTATTAATCAATTCGAGTTCTTTAAATCATAAAATAATTCAAAACATATATACATACATACACACGTACATACATACGTACATACATACATACTTGCATAAATACATACATACATATATACATACATACATACATACATACATACATACATACATACATACATACATACATACATACATACACTTCATCTAATTTACATACTGATGCACGTCATCGGCGTCATAGCCCTATGGTCTTAACTGGTAGGAGTGATTACTGAAATTTAATTAAAATAAAAATAGATTACCTACAATATTTAACGGGTAGCTCTTTTACACAGCAGACTTAGTAAAACTCAGGTTTAATTTAAATAAACATATATTCGGAATAAATAAATAGCAAAACAAAATTATATCCTGGATAACATGTAAAAATTTATGATGGCAATGATTCTCTGTTTATATCAGATAAAAATAAAATATAATTAATGTAATAAACTCGAAACGAAAATACAGTGTGTTAATACACAAGAGAACGAATGATGGGTTAGAGGTGGACAGATCAATTAATACTCGATCCGGCAAGGAGCGGAAAGTGACTAATCAACACTTAGCCACGGTACAGGTCTGTCTCAGATCAATACTCTAAGACCGGTAAGAAGCTGCCACTAGATCAACACTCTAGCTGAAGTGATTGACCTTTAGTCAAAATCCTAAGGAGAGTGAAATTATTTCCAGATCAACTCCTAGAACAGTTGATCTTTGATCAACATCCAATGGTCCGGTAAAGTTCTCGCTAGATCGGCACTCTGGCGGAACTACTTTCTTTCTTATGGATTACGTTGTTTTATACCGTTGTCGGCCCTTCATCTCCTCTAGCGCGTATGAATGGAAGTAGAACGCAGCAATGGGAATGCGTATACAGAGTGTTGGCGGTACTGTGGCAATAGCTAGCGACGAACATCGTTACAAATAGTAACAAGTCAAGATTATATTAAATGTTAAAACTGCTGGCCGTTTACTTGCGAGCACGGTCTACAACATTGTCTTATGGAAAAACGTATCTTTGAAAACAAATCAGCTGGACTGGATGTATAGTAACAGCTTAAATTTTAACTGTCAGATCTACCTCAATACCTTCCATACAATAAGGACTTAATTTCGTTGACTTTCGGGGCTAACACTTAAAAGTCCATAGGTCCAGTTCGACCTAATCATTTTTCTCTAGAACATCTATCTAGAAAATATCGTGCCTTTGCAGCAGAATAAACAGATGCCCCATCGTGCCGAAACCAAATATGTAGTGATATTTTTAACTGAAAATTTTCCAACAGGTCATATAATACTTCTTTCAGAAAACGAGTATAAATGGCTCAACTTAATACTTATTTGGATAAAGGTAAGTTCCGATTACATAATCTTAATTTATATAAAATTTATACAGAACACCCCATTAATTTACGCCTAATTTTCTTTATCCCAAACATTGCTTCTAGAATTTAATCCTCATGCCCTTATGAATTTGACCTTGTATATATATACAATATAAATATATATTTTGTATTATATTTGAAGATTATGTCGTCAGTACGACGTCGAACTATTTGTTGACATTAGGAAATATGTTTTCTGAAACAAAAGATCCCTTGCTAGTTATTCAATATCGGGATATTTCAATAAAAAATTACCTAAAATATATCGTTAAAAACCTTCAGGTTCAACAAATGCCGATATGGATATCAAGCCCAAGAAAACATCCAACATCTAACCAGGAGCTGCTAGGCATTTGCTGCAACTGAATATGACGAACGGCATAATTCAGTAGGAAATATTCTCCATCAAGAGATTGCTATCAAACTGGGACTTTTCCAAATCAACGATCTCCCATGTTCAATTTCCATCAATACGTTCCTGAGAGTATGCTTAAGAATGCTAACTGCAAGCTCTACTAGGACTTCCCATACCATAAAGTGGCACATAATTGACTAAATCCCATATTAGTTAATAAATTAATAAAACAAACAACACTCATTAATGACCTAACAACAATAATGTGCGTGTTAAATATAACAAAAGATCCCCAGATTTGAAAATTCAAACACGGAGACAACGGAGAATAGAAAGTGCCCAGACAATACCTATTAGTCTTTCTACTACTGCAGTCATTTAGAAGAACCTTCTAGAAAAGATAAAAAAATCTGGGTCTAAATGAAGATCTCTATAAGACAATGCAGAGAGCTGTGCCATTTTTGAGGTTCAGAAGTGTACGAAAATTTTTGGGAGATCCAGGATACCAAGTCACCCAGTTCTTGATAACACGAAAAGAGCCCCACGAGATCTCAATCCTTTTGATACCGTAGGTATCTGTAATGAGTGAAATTTTCCGCTTACAGGTAGTGAGATCCGTATGGTTAAGTCTGAAATAATAATACACTACGACTGATATAGGAGTAGACGTCGCGCGCTAGCAGATTTCAAATATTGTACCGAGAGCTCAGTTGATCGAGAACCGCTTAGCTGTATACAAGCTGTATACAAGTGTATACAGTTGTATACAGCTAAGCGGTTCTCGATCAACTGAGCTCTCGGTACAATATTTGAAATCTGCTAGCGCGCGACGTCTACTCCTATATCAGTCGTAGTGAATAATGATGAAAAGGTTGCCAATGTGAGTCCATAATATATTCCAGTTACTGAGGCTTAAAATATGGTAATACCTCCGAATTTTTTATAACTGCATTGATTTCTTTGAAAATTTCAAATTAAGCTTATCTTACCCTTCACTTCAAAAGTTATATACGCTCTAGATACGCTTTTTGTTTTTAAGGGGTGAAAACTACCCCTTATTGAAGATACTGGAAAAACACGGATTTAATTATTTTATGCACTTTAATCTTATTTATTCTCATAAGGTAAATCTTGTAATGTGTTCTCTAATATAAAAATTAATTATTCGCGATTTTCAACTTTCAAAACCCTTTAAAAACCCTTAAAAGCTTATACTTTTTATAAAAATAATATGAAAAAAAAAGTCGTAGTAGCTTGAGACATTTCAATTATGTATTTAAATACAAATAAAAATTAATACCCTAGCTATACAATAATATTTTTATATTTATTGGAAATTTTTAACCCTTAAAACCACCCTTATGACAAAAATGAATTAAAAATTATTTTTATCGGTTTGAAACTTTATTGAGTGCATTTTATTTAACGAAAATTAATTTCTTGCTTATAAAATAACATTTTATTATAATTTCAACATTTCAACCCTCACAACCACCCCCTTTGTCAAAAATGAATTAAAAAATATTTTTAACGATTTGAAACATTTTTAGAGTGCGTTGTTCGTAGACAAAAATTAATTTTTTAATTGTAAAATGAGCCTACATTTTTCAACCCTAACAAGCACCACTTTTGATGAAAATAAAATCCTTAAATCTTTAACTTAGACATGGACATAAATAGAAAAAATTTAGTTTAATATTACAGTTTTTTTTATTTTCCAAAAACTAAAAATTAATAATATTAATATAAAACGAGCTATAAAATAAATGAATATCCATTCATCAGATACATAGATGCATATACTTAATCTAATTTACATACCGATGCACGTCATCAGCGTCATAGCCCGTGACGTCATATGATACCAACACGAAATATTTAGGCGGTAGGTGTGTTATTTTTTAGAATCACTTTGCCGAGTACACTGGCATTACAGCCACTAGACATATTTTATCATATACGCGTAGAAATAATATTTAAAGATTTTTATTAATGTTAAGGGGGTATGTTCACGCCGCAGTTAAAATGAGTGGTGTTCAAATAAACTAACGTTTAACAATTTCTTGAATAGATGGCAGCACGTGCATCATATTTTAATATTTTGATTTTCTCGAAATTTAATTATCTGAACAGCGACAGTGTTGCCAAGTACTGGAACTTAAAATATAATATACGATCGGGAGAATCGGTATACTTCGCTCTCGGTCGGCAGTCTTCTGCAATGTAAGTTGAAATTGCGCTATCGTATTATTTGATTTGAAGTTTCACAAATTCTAATTTTTGGATTGAATAATTGGATCATTCCATATCATTTTTTAATTTTTGTATCGTGTTGCGTTGAGGTTCATTTACCTTTGAAGTTAAATTGTTGTTTTGTTTTTTTTTGTTTTGTTTTTTTTTTGTAAACATTTTAAATGGTGCATATTAGTTTTGTAAAAAACTAAATTTATTTCAAGTACAAAAAATTACTTATAATAAAAATATACACCTGTAAATTTCATAATTTATTAACC